TTCATTCATTATTTTTACCCTTTATGTATCTAAATAGATTTTTCGTCTGTGAATTTGAATAAAATTACTTAATCTAGATTTCCCCTTTTGATAAGATTAATAACTCGAGATAAAATGTTTAATGAGATTCTTGGTCCTATACAATATAACTGTTTCAACATAATTAAATAAAAATAAAATCTTGTATAAATTTGTTCTGCTTTCATTAGGTATTTAGCTTTGTACAAAATACTTTTTCCTTTTAAATAAATGTAACTAAAATTCTCAGCTTCATTTAAATTTGATTCAATGTTTTGCGTATAAAACTGTTTTTGTATTAAAATTCACCTGTCAATAGAAGCTTAAATTTGACTTACTAACACGCCAAATACCGATTATACCTTTAAACGGAAAACATCAACAACGTAGGGCTTACTGAGAATAAACGTACTTTTGTTAAGTCTAATTTATGTTTTCTCTTTTGCTATATTTCTGCTCAATGCATCAGCATAAATCACAGACTGCATTTTAGCTTTTGAATAGGACTGAGTTGGATTAGGAGAAAAAAGAAAGAAGCAATTCTAACAAAGAATTTTGTTAAGTTTTAGAACTTTAAAGATAACTTTTAATTTCAGTCAAGAGTTTATATTTCCGTCATTTCCTCGCCCTTCCATAATTTGATTTTAATTGAAGCAAAATTTCGATTAACAATATTGCTTGTAAATGCACTGTGCGAAACAAATAGAAAAATGCAAATGTTTAGAGCTCGAACGTGGGCTATAAAATTCATTCAAAAGCACTTATAACTTCAATATGTGCTATGTTCCCGTTTTACTTATTTATTTTCTTACGTTTTAAAACGTATGGTAAATAATTATGGCAGCTTCTTAGCAGGTTCAAGTGTGAAATTTTGAATATAGATCTATTGCGTTTGGAAAGCACTTTCTTTTAGCCTTAGAGATGAATTCAGAACCACTTTGCACGTTAATAAATGGTACTTTACAGGGTTTCTGTTCCTAACCAAATTGTTACAAATTTTATATCCAGTGTTATAAAAGAAGACAAAATGTACATTTAAAGATTGCCAGATTGTTTTTGTTGGTACTTATTGAACATTTTTTTTTGTTTTATTTTTGTAGTTTTGTATTTATTATAAAACTAAATTCTTTAGTTCATAATTTAAAACTAAGTATTTGAGCGAAGCAAGCGTCTATTTCGGTGCACCGAAACTAGAGTCTTTTTGCCTGTTGGTCGATTTGTTCAGTTTCGACGATAACATTTTAATTTTTGCTTAAAAAACCGGAGATTTCAATGCCAGAAGTCCCCTATGGAGCTCACATAATACGAACACATGAGGCCTTAAAGTACGCGAATTCATACCCAGCACTGGACTATCGATTGTCAACGAGATAGGGGATACACCAACCTTAGCAGGATTAAGGAGCAACAACTAGATTTACCTCACACTTATCATAAGTAGAGAAAGAACCAGGATGGATAATTGGAAGGTAACGGACGATTCAAACAATAACGATCATAATAATATATATTTTATCATCTCCAGCATTCATTTCTCAGCATGGCGAAGAACGAAAATTCAATGTACGACATACCCACTGGCTAAGTTTCAAAAGGGATGTCTCAAAATCTAGCAGACCCTAGAAATCTGACAACTGTCGAAGAAATCGATAATTATATAAGAGGTTACCACTAATCTCCACGAGATGTATCAGAGAACGGTTTTGTCACATAACTCGAAACCAAGACCGCGCACCTGCTCATGGTGGACAAAAGATCTTACTATGCTCAGGGAAAAGGTTAGAGCAACAAGGGAGAGATTTCAAAAAACAACTGGAGAGGAAAGGGCCCATAACAGGCTGCTTTACCAAAGGGTACGTGCACAGTATCGGCAAAAGATGTATGAAGAAAAGAAAAAAGCATGGGACATGACATAGAACAAAATTACAGTCAGCTCTCCGTTCGGAACATATTTCGATGTAGCCAAAGGGAAGAGCATAGATCCATTACAGATAGGTACAGTTCAAAAAGACGATGGCACAATGAAGAACACAATTGAGGATACAATTAGGGAAATAATGTGGTTCTATTTTCCAGAAGACGACCCCAACCAGGACTCTACATATCACGCAGATATCCTTGCCCAGTCAACCGAGATTCCAAACTCCGAAGACGATAAGCCGTTCTCGAAGACTCGAAGCCGACACTCGAAGAAATGCAACGTACGATAAACTCAACACGCAGAGGTAAAGCTCCTGGTCTGGATGGCCTCAGGATTGAAACCACAGAAGAGCTTAGGCTCGCGGACGACAAACAAATTCTAGCACGCTTTAACAAGTGCCTTGAATTAGGTTATTTTCCAAAGGAATGGAAAAACGCAGAACTGGTCTTGTTCCAGAAAGAGGGAAAACCAAAGTCCATGTCCAATTCTTACAGACCTATCTGCTTACTCTCAGTGTGAAGTAAAGTCCTTGACAAGATGCTTACGTAGAGATTAACATATTAACTGGTCAAAAACAAACTACTAAACCCCGCCCAATACGGGTTTACTAAAGAGCGGAGCACCAGCGACACCCGCAACCGTGTTCAAGACATCATCTTAAATAACAGACAAAATAACCTCATACGTGTATACCATACGTGTATAAATAATCTCCATACCTCCATCGCTTGACGTACGTCAGCAATCAATAAGCTATGGTGGCCAGCTCTCAAAACAAAAGTAAAAGACCTGCGATGTCCAAAGAATCTTTACCAACTTATCAGAAGCTACCTCAGAGAACGTCAAGTGACCTACAAAAGAAACATCCTAAATATTACGATGAATTACCACAAAGGAGGCCCACAGGGGTCTAATATCGGATCCATACTGTGGAACATAATTGCAGACTCCGCGCTAATCATCAACTTTGAAGACAATGCCAAATTACAAGCTTACGCCGACGATATTATACTCATAATAAACGGAAGCAATAGGACAACAATAGAGCGTAAAGCAGACGGAGCACTCAAATTGCTTACAAAATGGAGTCAAGACAACAAACTGTGTTTCAGTATTGAAAAAACATAGATGATATTCTTTCCAAAGGGCTCAAAAATAGATGCGAATCCACCACGTATAAAGTGGGAAGGGCATCTACTGCGACGCCAGGATACCATTCAATACCTCGTATTCACGCTTAATAAGAAGCTCACTTGAGTATGACATCTTACAGAAGTCCGAGATAGGACGCATCGAATCATCAATAAACTAAACATGATAATCATAGACAAGTGGAGCCAAAAGGAGCGCCTGTTAAAACATCTAAACCTAAATGCAATTGAAAGCATGATCCTCTGCTGCCCAGTCTGTATGACTGGCACAACAAGAATATGTCAGAAACTTCAGAAAATACAGCGAGTAATCCTGCTAAAAATCACCAGTGCGTATAGCACCACATTAACCGCAGCACATTTGGTTCTAGCTACCCCGCTCCCACTCGACGTAAAAGCAGAATTAGAAAGATCAATCTACCAACTTCTGCATTACAAGGAAGACCTTCACACCAAAGAAGATTTATATCTATCCTATGCAAGCATAGAAAGCTTCCAAAAGCCCCCTGTCTTACACCCAGGAGATCTACCCATCCTTCCTTGGTGCAAATCACCACCCTCATGACAACTAAGAGAGATTTTCTCTGACGGATCAAAAATTTTCGGACGAGTAGGGTCAGCGTTCACGGTCTTTTCGAACAATGAAGAAATTTATCAAGCACAATTCCGTTTAAGCAACCACGCTTCAGTCTTCCAAGCCGAGTCGTTTGCTCTCAAAGGAGCAGCACTATAGTTAGGTGCGCAACCACCAGCTCACACTTCAATCTTCATAGATAGCATGAGCGTTCTGAATGCGCTGAATTCCTTTCCTCCACCTTCGACAGCATTCCTTTCCTACCGACTACATCACATGTCCTGTAAATAGACTGTTCAAAGAATATTACTGCAACAAGGGCATCTTAGACATAATGAAGCAAGTGAATAAAGATAACACTGTAGTGCGATTAGCATAATTTGGCGGAACAAGTTAAGTAAAGTGGCCATATATCTTTCCTGCTTCGAAATAACCTAATGTATCTACAGTTCCTAAAACTTTGGTTAAGCGTATTCTTACGATGATACGACGTAAATATGTTGTATTGAAATGTTAATGTTCTTAATATAACATTCCTTTAAAAAATAATTTTCACATGCGTAATGGATAAGTTATTTTATGAAATATTCAATAAATTATATTTATTTATTCATCGATTGAAGGAAAGGTGAACCTAACTCTCATTATCCAGACAAATTTGAAAACGCAAAAAATCCTATGACATATTGTTATTATTATGGATCCTTTTGAAATGGAATTATTTGGATAGCTCACATGAATTCGGGATAATCAAGATGCAGTAAAGGCTGTCGATAGTCCGAGCCTTATTCATCTTATAGGTGTTTGCCCGACATTTGCTTGACTTTATTACCGTTCTGATGTAAAATAGCCCCGAGAGCTTCTCTAGCGGTATTCCATCCTTTTGTTCTACCACTAACCTAAACAGGTAACGTTCAGCTCGATGGTATTTTAAATGTCCGGATGCCGCAAAGATTCCATATGCTTAAAGACGTCAGTGCCTTCTTCAAAATTCAAAATGTTTATTGCTAAATAAGAAATATAATTTTACATAATATATATCAAAATTTAAATAGGACAGAATTTGATAGTTTCTTGTCATATGAACGCAAGGTTCCAAGCCAGCTTTTAAGGGAGTTATTAGTAAGAAAATAAAAGGAAGAAAGGAAATCATTTCAAAAGTTAAAGAACTAAATAACATTAAAATGCGTTGGCGAACGAAATTCTTACATTCTATATATCCCTTATCTATTTTAGTGTAGGTGTATGTTTATTGGCCCGAGATAATTCAGTTTCGAAACATGAGACATCTCGGTACGGTAATCTGAAAATCATCAGATTACAGAAGTCAGTAAGAAAGATTTTAAATTGCTCTATCTGTGGATGCTTAGCCTTTAGACGCCAAAATAAAAGCGGCAATATCCGGTTAAAATAGCAGATTTCGTAGTTTCAGGAAAAGATTCAAGCTGTAAGCGCTGATCTTTTTCTCACAAACTGTGTATGTACATTTCATTATTGATTTTATTTTGGCGTTTCAAATTCTCATTTTCCTGAAATCTTGCAATTATTATTTTGATCTTTTTAATAGTGTTGCTGTTGTAACCTAAATATTAAGAATTAAGTGAAAACTTTGCTCAGATATTTAGACTTGAACACAACTAGTTTGTCATCGAAGTAAACTGAAACTGAATATTTCAGATAAACATTCTGCAGTAATTTATCAATAAGTTTAAAAATTTAATAATAGCATATTTAAAAATTCTAAAGGAGAATATTAGCAAAGATTTAATGTTGTTTTAATGCTAACAAGAAAACTTCATAAAATTTAAGATTAAATTAGTTGTAATGTTTAGTGAATCCTAGTGTTGCACTTAATGTTTAAATTTGATTCATGGGCCTCAATTAATCTATCACACGTTTCTCAGTTCTACATTAATAATTTTTCGTTGCGTTTCAAGGAAAAATGTAGGTCTAATGCGTAATTTACATTTTCGGAGCATAGATGCATATATTGTGTAGCGAGCTCATAATGGTGATTATCTATGCGGAGTTACCTTGTATGCCTTTGTATGATGAATTTCTTTTACGCTGTTATTTAATTAAATTACTCATTAATTTAGTTGTAAATTATACTCAATTCAGGTGTAGCAGGAAAGAAGCAATTGGAGGAATAGAGTACATTAATTTGTTTCCATTTGCGTTTAAATGGCAATGATTCACACTTTTATTTTTGGCTGGGATGTTAACATACTCATATTTGTCGTTATATTGTTGAAGAATATATTAATAACCTAACATAAATTATGACATCTTAAATTGCTCTGTAATCTGTCTATTTTTAGGGCAAACGTTCGGGCTATTACTCTCGGAACGGCATTTTGCGCTGAATGACTGAAATCGTTGTATCACTTTTCAAATTGTTGCCACCAAATATTAGAGAATATTTGGAATAATGAAATTTTGAATAACGTTATCCTCTATTTTAACAAGAGTATCTTAAAGCCCAAATTTGCAATTTGCAATTTTTTTTATCGTCTCTTTCATATCGTGTAAAACAAAAGCGAAATTTTGATTAACAAACTTACTATTTCAAAACGAGCAGTGACAACACTGTACGAGAAAAAACATTTTTATCTTTAGTACGTGGTACTGTATATCGAAAATTTTAAAGACATGCTGTTTTGAAATATTTTTAGTCCAAGGGGGCATTAGCCCTAGTGCTCTAGAAACGTGTATATGTGTGCGTAAATGACAAGAAAGCTCATTTCGACATGATATATAATCTAAAATATTTCAGATGTATTTTTTTTTGTTTTCTTTCTCTCATGTGGTGGTGGTGTGGTGTATTTAATTATGGCGAAGCACACTAGGGCTATCTGCCTACGGGAGGAATGCCTTCGTGGATGACTTTCTAAGGGAAACTGGCTCGTATACACGTTACACATAGGGAAAACCATGAAAACACCCATGCAGCCAGCCCGCTCGCGGGATTCGAACCTCAGACCGAACTACCAGTGTTCAGCGACTTTACCTCTCGGCCGCTGGTGGGCCTCCTTTCTCTCAACCGCGAAAATTCCTGATATTACATAGGTATTGATGAAGACGTACTTTTTGTTAAACTAGGAGATCTCTGTTTAGAAGTATTTCAAATTCATCATTAAAATATGCAATGGTGAGTAAGAGGTCACTAGGGATAAGATACGAATTCAAGACTGAGTCCGTAATTCGAACATACTTATAGAAAAATTTCATAATGTTGTAGGTGTATAATTTCACTCCTGTTCTACATAGATCCGACACCTATAACACATGAAATTCATGATCAGATCAACAATTTAAATAACCATAGAATTGGAAATATGTCATTTCATTTCAAATAATTCCTTTGAATGAATCTATTTGAGACTTATTTAATTTTCTTCATTGTAAGTATCAACAAGAAGATAAACTCAACAACATGTTCAAATCGTATAATGAGCAGCAACTCGAGATACTGAAACAATTTTATTTGAAATATTTTGCAAAATTTATGTTGTAAACTAGAAAAACATTCTTTCCTCCCTAACTGTCCTATACACTTATACTTCATGCCTAAAGTGACTCAGGGTGATTATTGCCAACTGGAAGCATAGGACATTTGGTACGATTTATATATTATACAAAAAATATTTCTTAAGTAAAATTGTGCAATGTTCTGTATCGATCTAAGGGACAGACAACTGCGTTGATGTCACAACATGTAATGCTATCATTATAAATGATGTCAGTATTTTAAAGGTATTAGTATCTCTATTAATTTAAAACATGCATGGATAACCTTACCTGTAAGCACCTTGTTTCGGTAGTTAATGAAAAAAGTGTTTACTAGTACAAAATGATCAGAAGTTATCTTATTTTCGTCAAATAAAAACATCTTAAAAAAATCTGAAAGCTTTCAGATTTTACATTACGTCCAAAGGAGTGTTTTTCAATATTTTATGTGCTACCTTTAGTTATTGAATATAATTTTATTTGCACTTAAACCATAAAATTCAGTTCAACAGCAAGATCACAAAATAATTTGAAAGGAACATGTCATTAGAATTTTCGATAGACAGTCTCGCGCATTGGAGATCATTTTTTTTTTTTTTTTTTCATACAGTGTGCCATCACTCGCTTTGAAACCGTTGAGTTTCTTAATCAAAAATTCACAAATGCTTTACAAAATACGAAATAGATAATAAAACCAGTTTCAAATTCCAAATTTAGGTTTCCAGGTATCCATATTCGGGTGAAGACTACATTCTTCAAGATTTGATGGCTCTAGGTATAGTTGTTTTATCACTATGAGAGGAACATACATACATTTATGCAGGTTCTTCATTATTTAATTTCTTTAAATATAATACAGGGCGATAAAATTTGGTGCCAACAATTTGAAAAGTGTCTCAGATTTTCAAAGGTTGGACGCAAAATGCGAAAACGAAATTAACTGTCCTTCTGGGATAACGCCCTTTGGGCTGATAAGAAATATATTTTCCTTTGTTTTCTGTTTTAACTATCCCTAGATCTGCAATCAGTAGCTTCCATACTTCGCGATGTATTCCGACAAAATGAAAAGTAGCTGGTACTTTATCTTCGAATCTACGTGATTGGGCTGTCTGTATGAGAGTTTTCGTGGTTTCTTTCCATGTGAAACGTAAATAGGAGGCAATTTAGCATAGAAATTTCTCCACGTAGGCATCCTTTCCCTTAGGCAAATATCTCTTTCGTGCTTTCCCATAATCAAATAAACCAAACCGGTACAATACATTTTCGTGGCCGTCACTGAAGGGATTCTTCTGAAAAATACGTTATTCTAGTGCTTTAGATATATGCTGAAAACATTTTATATAATTATTTAGGTTTTATTTTTCATTTGGGAAAAATACATAGGTAAAGGAAACGTGCGTGTCAGTTTCAACAGTCGTTATCGGAATAGAAGGGAAAATCCAGAAAATAATCAGAGCGAGATGTTAAATTTATTGCGAATGTGCTTTTAGTAACATAAATAACCAATACTTACTATTTATTATCAGTAGCAATTATCAGTTTCTGTAATCTTTGAACAATAAAAATTTAAATCTATTTGCAAATACCTACGGGTACATAGAAGAGATTATTACTTTCAATAATGTTGTATATCTTGAGAAATTTCACACATATCCTTCTAGCTTAAAATTTCATAAAACAAATGCAAATCAACAAGAAATACATTTTGTTGATCTATGAATAGTTCGATGCAATAATATTAAATACTTTGACATAAGAAGAGAATATAAAAATACGACCATTAAAGTAATTAATTAGCTTACCATCTTACCAAGTAAAGTTATCAGTAACACAGCTAATCAGATAAATAATCTGTACAGAAATATCTGTACATCTGAAAAATATCTGTACAGAAAAATTGGCTATTTAAAAAAGAAAGTAATTATACTAATATAAGTTCTTTCTCATATATAATCAAATACCTTCCCATTTATTATTCATTTGATAATACTGACGTTAATTGTCAGATTTAATCTTTTAAATAGTAAGTTATGAAAGGCTTATTTTAAATCATCAACGAAGTATGTGACCATAGTAGTATTTACTTAAGTTGAAAATTTCCATGTTCTGTAAGTAATTTAAAATTACTTTAATGTAAATAATTCTGTTAATTGTAAAATTATTTTTATTAAAAATAGGTCATTTAGTTTCTAAAACTAGTTAAAGTAGTTCATATAACAAAGTTCCGAACGACAGCTACTTCAAAAATTATAAGAATGATTCTCACAAATTTGAGTAATGAAATATTTCTCTCTTTGGATGGGATACAATCCGCATTTAATAAGATAATCTCAATAAAATATATATATTTTTAAATTACACTTTTAAAGTCCATTCTTTTAAACTATAACTTCCATTCTGTTATCTTCGTTATATACTATCTAGTTCGACAATACATAAAATGGTTGAGCATAAAATGACATTTTAAATAAATTTTAATTTTAGTAGGCATGTTAATGAAATAGTACTTCTAGGCATAGACATTACATTCAATTATTCTTATTACTTCATTATTACTTTATAATTGGAGCAGTCTGAAGAAAAGAAATGACTCAGGAAGTCTGTAAAAAATAGTTTCTAAATTCTTATCTTCTTCTTTCTGCGGATCTTCGAAGCTAAGATAAGAGATGGAAGAAATAAAAATTTGCAGACTGTGACATCTTTCCACCGGCGTTGTTGAAATATGTTTCTTTCCGTAACGCCCCTTGAAAAATGTTCCAATTTTCTAACTGGAATGTCTGTCTCCGAGAAGAGCAGGCATTTGGACAGATCAGTTGGGTCTGAGTTTCATATTATGAAGCTTGGCATAAAGTCAGCAGTTTTGGAAACTTCAATTTGTTGTTGAGCAGTCTGAAAAAGTTTCTATCTGATATATATATATATATATATATATTTTAAAAGGAAAATAAAGGAGTCGCTGACAAAATA